CAGGCACAGAGAACAAGGGCGGGAGAACAGATTTAGGAAGGAAAGACTGTAACTTCAGGTTTTAACATGTAGACTTGAAAGTGGAATATTCAATGTATGAGTCTGAGTTTTAGAAAGGGGGATCCTGGATAGAGATAACATTGACAGCATGTGCATGGTCATTTGTGCCTTTTTGAGTGTGTTATGACCAAAGAAGGCTAGGGCAGAACCCTGATGAAAACTAACACTTAAGAGATATAGGGCACAGGCAGAGAGGTGGAGGAAAAGCCAGGGAGCACACAGTTGGGGAAGTCAGGGCAGAGAGTGCTTCTGGAAGGACAGCATGATCAGCACGGTCAAATGTTAGGGAGAGTCTGAATGGCAGGAGGACTAGGAAGTGTTCACCAGCTTCAGTAACACGGAAGTTCTGAGCCATGGCTGAGGGCAGTTCAGGTGGGGCAACCGAGGCCATAGTTCACCACTGATTAAGAGGTGTGCAACTGGAGAGTGTAGACATTTGTACTACGATACTTTGCTTTAAAGAGGAGATGAGCTGACATTAACTAGCTGCAGGCGTAGATAGGGCTGAGGATAACTACACCTATATCTACAACTACTTCCATGCCTATCTTCTCTTTTAGATTTAAGAGACGTGAGCGCTTAAACTTCAAGAGCTGCTGAAGGGAAGGAGTGAGTAGAAAGGAGAGTGACAGATGAGAAGATGTCTGGAGGAAATTGGATCCAAGACTGGTGGATGAAGATAGCAGCTTTGACAGGCAGAGAGACTCGACCCCCACCGAGGCAGAGAGGAGGAGGCAGAGATGGGGAGGAAGGTGAGTTTGCAAGTGTGGTGGTGGACAGGGTCCTGCCTGGAGTTTCTGTGTTCTCTGAGGTTGAAGGTAAGGCTGTCTGCTGCTGACTATGGGCCATGGGGGCAGAACTGGTGGGGCAAAAGATTTAAGGAATGAACAGAAGGCAGCAGTGGATTCTGGGGAAGATGAGTGGCAGCTGGCAAAGGAAACCAGTAAAGAGTTAGAGGATTGAGGATTATAGGATTGAGGACCAGATGTGGCTGGAGGCCAAGGATTTAGATCCACATTGAATCCTGCGTCAGTGGAACTTCTCTGTAGTAATCAGCTGCCAGGGTGTGGGCATAGGGAAGGTGAACAGTTGGAGTCTGTTCTTGGGATTCTTAAAGTCTGAGGAGCTTTTGGTACCTGGAGAGGAACACTCACCACCACCTGTGCTTTACTTATTGTTTAATCTATTCACAAACCTACTGAAGCAAAAATTGTCTAAACATTTAAATACGATTTCTATAATCAGCAAATCAAAATCTGTACATTTAATAAGTCAAATTATTTAAACATTGATTAAAAGCAATCAAATCCTCCTAAATATTTCAATTGAGTCACTAATAAGTCAGTTTCTCTAAAAGCTTCATTTTGGTAAAGCACACATACCATTATAAGGATTCTGAAGTTTATGACACCTACACTTAAATCTATTATAAAAATGGGCCTGTAGATCTGAGAGATAGGTACTGTCTCAGCTCAGGCCAATTTTTGAATTTAGATATCTAAAATAAAAATATATCTCAGTGTAGATCAAGTTTCAGATTATTAATCAGTGAATTTCTGGTTGAGATCTGGGAATTGATTCAGCTTCTAAAATGATTAAAATCTGAGCTGGTATTCATCTTGCATATATCATGGGAAATTTTCAAGCCCATATGTTTTCCATGCAGTGGTATTGTAGCTGGATGCCTTTTCTCTACATGATGCCATCTTTAAGTTTAGTGACTATGATATGCAGATGTCCAGAAGAGGTCCATGCCTTAATCCCTGGAACCTGTGAATATGTTATGTTACATGGCAAAATGAACTTTTTTTTTTTTTTTTTTGAGACGGAGTTTCACTCGTGTTACCCAGGCTGGAGTGCAATGGCGCGATCTCGGCTCACCACAACCTCCACCTCCTGGGTTCAGGCAATTCTCCTGCCTCAGCCTCCTGAGTAGCTGGGATTACAGGCACGCGCCACCATGCCCAGCTAATTTTTTGTATTTTTAGTAGAGACGGGGTTTCACCATGTTAACCAGGATGGTCTCGATCTCTTGACCTCGTGATCCACCCGCCTCGGCCTCCCAAAGTGCTGGGATTACAGGCGTGAGCCACCGCGCCTGGTGCAAAATGAACTTTGAATATGCAATTCAGGTTGTGGACCTTAAAATAGGGAGATTATCCCTGAATTATCTGGGTGGGCCCAATCTAATCACACGAGTCCTTAAACTCAGAACACTTTCTCTGATGAAGGCAGGGAGTTGTGGTAGAAAGCTGGACCTGAGAGATTCAAAGTTTGAGAAGGACTTAGCTTGCCATTGTTGGCTTGAGAATGGAGAGGTTAGGACCTAAGTCCTACAACCATAAGGAACTGAATTCTAAATGAGTTTGGAAGTGGATTGTTCCCCTCTAGTAAGGAAGGCAGACTTGCTTATACTTTGCTTTTGACCTTGTGAAACCCTGAGCAGATAATCCAGTCATGTTTTGTTGGACTTCTGACCTACAGAAACTGTAAGATAATCAATAGTCATTTTAAGACACCAAGTTTGTAGTAATTTGTGGCTGGATGTGGTAGCTCACACCTATAATCCCAGAATTTTGGCAGGCTGAGGTGGGTGGATCACTTGAGGCCAGGAGTTTGAGACCAGCTTGGACAACATGGCAAAACCCTGTCTTTACTAAAAATACAAAAAATTATCTGGGTGTGGCAGCACGCAACTGTAATCCCAGGAGGCTGAGGCATGAGAATCGCTTGAACTTGGAGGCTGAGGTTGCAGTGAGCCAACCTCACACCACTGCACTCCAGCCTGGTCGACAGAGCATGACTCTGTCTCAAAAAACAACAACAAAAAAAACAACTTCTAGTTGTCTTCCCCAGTAGCCAATCTCTCCCTCCTCTTTATTATATAATTCCCAACTTCTAGCTGGACATGGCTGCCTGGAGTAAACACTATAGCTCCTAGCCTCTCTCCCTGGCTTGGTGAGCCCAGGTGCCTAAATTCTACCCAATGAGACAATCAGAAATATTGGGTGCACCTTTCAGAAAGCTTCTTTCAAGGAAAGAGATGTGCTATTTCTTCTTTCCTCCTTCCTGGGGGCTATTAAGCTGACTGAATGGCTGGAGCTCAGGGAGCCATCTTGGGTCATGAGGTGGCAAGCTAAGGATGGTAGAAGAGCAAGACAGGATACTGGGCTTTCAACTGATCATAAGGCTACCATCCATCCCTGGACTCTTATTTGCAGATTCTTCTATGTAAGACAGAAACGATTTCCTATTTTGTTTAAGCTATTGTTATTTTGGGTTTTACTGTTACAGCCAAACCTACCTTAATCATTTTGCCTAATTAATATCTCATTATAATTAATGGAGAATCCATTTTCCAGGAGCTGAAAAATCAAGCTTGAGCAGTGAACAGTTGTCTTTTGGACATTTGAGTAATTCACTGTCTTATAACATACCATTGAACTGTTTTTTTTCTTAGTTGCAAAGTATGCCCAAATAGTCCCATCAGTATCTTTCATTCTTGGGACAGTGCCAGATCTTGGAATTACTCACAGTTTCCTGTACTCACCCCTCCCTATTTACACAGATAAAGAAAAACAAATGTACCTTACAAATAGACAAAATACCTACTATATTTATGTTCTACTTATCACAACTAACTAAAAATAGCCTGTTATATTCACTCTTCTTCACTCATTATATTAACTACCTTTTGGCACACTTTATAGTGACTTCTTCCCTTTTGAATATCATTATTGACACATGGATTTAAAAAAATTCACCTTGTTGCAACGAACTATATTATTTTCCTTTTGGTAATCTAATTGTCAAAGCATGTCAAGTGGGAGCCTCTTTAGATTTATTCCTTTGCCTTTTCAGCTTTACTTTGTACATTTAAAAAGTATCTTTGAACCATCCTTTTCTTGGGGTTGAGCTCCTGTCCAATGAGGGCATAGTGAGGGCAGTACTGCTAATGCCTAAACCACACACTCGCGTCAGCTAGAGCTTTGCTTTACCTTGGTGCAATTTTTGGAAAAAATGAAAACCCGATTAAAAAAAAAAAGTATCGCCGGGTGTGGTGGCTCACGCTTGTAATCCCAGCACTTTGGGAGGCCGAGGCGGGTGGATCACAAGGTCAAGAGATCGAGACCATCCTGGTCAACATGGTGAAACCCCGTCTCTACTAAAAATACAAAAAATTAGCTGGGCATGGTGGCGCGTGCCTGTAATCCCAGCTACTCAGGAGGCTGAGGCAGGAGAATTGCCTGAACCCAGGAGGCGGAGGTTGCGGTGAGCCGAGATCGCGCCATTGCACTCCAGCCTGGGTAACAAGAGCGAAACCCCGTCTCCAAAAAAAAAAAAAAAAAGTATCTTTGCTTTCTGTCATCAACAATATGTTCTGGGCCTGGAGTTATTTAAGGTGTGCAGCTGTTCTCCAAGAAACCTGAGGTTTTTTGGTATATATATATATATATATTTTTTTTTTTTTTTTTTGAGACAGAGTTTCACTCGTGTTACCCAGGCTGGAGTGCAATGGCGCGATCTCTGCTTACCGCAACCTCCGCCTCCTGGGTTCAGGCAATTCTCCTGCCTCAGCCTCCTGAGTAGCTGGGATTACAGGCACATGCCACCATGCCCAGCTAATTTTTTTTTGTATTTTTAATAGAGACGGGGTTTCACCATGTTGACCAGGATGGTCTCGATCTCTTGACCTCATGATCCACCTGCCTCGGCCTCCCAAAGTGCTGGGATTACAGGCTTGAGCCACCGCGCCCGGCCTTTGCTATATATTTTTTAAAATTGTGACTAATATTTGAAGCACAGCTCCAGTTTCTAAGAATGGATATCAGATTGTTCCTCATGTTGTTTTTAGGATTAGTGACAGTTCAAAAAGTTATTTCTTTTTAAAACCACAAATTCACCTTGGTATTTCCTATTTAACTCAAACATGATTAAACTTTTAAAATTTAACTTTAGCATACAGTTTAATATTTATTTTTCTCTACAACATACCTACTTGTAGCCTGTAACACCCGATCCAAACTTCAATGGTATCTTCTCTTTAGTGATTGTATAGTGTCTCACTGACCACCATTCTCTAGTTGTTTTACGGACAGATTCATCCAGGCTGGGTCAATGGGACAGCGGCATAAGAAAGAGAGAGGGAGGGTTTGGCATACTGGCAGGAGAGCATCTGAAGGAATGAATCATGGAATCCCAGGTAATAGAAAGCTTAAGAAAAAGAATACGGTAGTACAGATTAGGAGAAAAAGAGATGGCAGGGATAGGCTGGAACAGGTACGGTGAAGATAACTCAGTGAGAGAGCTGGGAGGAAGGAGGCGGCAGTCAGACTGTGGAGTGACTGAAGTTTGAACGTCAAAGGTGGAGCAGTTTCAGGAGGTGGACAAACCAGAGGATGCATGGTTATCGATGTTTTCCATGGTCCACCTCCAGCTCTGTACACCCACTCTCAGCTCTGCTCACGGCCAGGGCAAACACACACACCCTAGTCTCAGGTAGGAAGGTAAAGGCCAAAGTCTATCTGGGATTTGGCACAGAAGGACAGCCAGGATTGCTGCCTGCTGGCTGCCCTGCTATACATGCAGAATGTGTACCATGTTCAGACTAGGTCATACACCCTCCTTCCTTCCTCACCAGCCATAGACTCCAGGCCCTTCCCACACTTCTGCCTGTAGTGGAGCCTCTCACCCTAGCCCATACGGTGCTGGTTTAGCTTCTGATGGTGCTGGCTGAGATCCGTGATGCTGGCATTCCTCGCAGGAAGAAGCCTGCAGGGTACGCTCAGGCTAGTCCATCTGGGCCCCTGTGGGGGCCTGTCAGGCTCACCTGTGCCACCTGTCCCAAACAGCATTGAGCAGGAAGCTGGGGTGGGGGAACAGGAGGAGCAGAGCCTGCAAAGTAGTACAGATCTCCCTTCTTGCCAAACCTTGCCCTGATCCTAGGGCTGCAGGCAGGAACAGATGCAGCAGGTGGCTGGGAGGGTAACTGGGGATGGGTGAGTGGGAAGGCCAGGTCTGGAGATGCCACAGCTCTACTCTTTTCTTAAACTTGGGTGTTTGGCACAGGGTCCCATGCAAGGAGGTGGGATACAGGCAGCCAGAGGGAGTCTCTCTCCTGCCTCTGCTGGTTCTGGGACAAGAGAGGGCAGAAGAAAGTGGGCAAGGGCTGGATTCTTGTCCTTGAAGGGCTTGGGTCCTCAGAGGGGGAAGATGAGGAAGCCAGAGAAGCTTGAGTATTTCCAGCCACCCAGTAGATTTCCCCGACGCAGGCGCAGAGACACTCGGTCCCCAGGGTCCAAGGGCAGTAGCACAGAGCTGGTGGCTGCCTCCCGGGTCACGTCTGGGTCATTGGCAAAGGCTGAGATGACAGGCCACGTGTTCAACATCAGGCTCACCTGGGGAGGGGAGGCCAGTTAGCCCCCATCCCCCAGCTCTCAGCTCAGGACTTCCACTTTCCCAGGGGCTTCCTCTTGGGGAGCTGGAGCTTAATGGGCTCTCCTGAGAGGGCTGCGGGGTGGCCAGCGTTGGCCTCTGCACATCCTCCACACTCAATGCCAGGCAGGCCCATTCCTCCCCTGGTCCTGGCCTCCAGGACACAGGTTAATGGAGGGTCCACCCAGAGGTCAGCTGGGCTCCACTTCTTCCCCCTGTCTCCCCTTCTGAGCCTGGGATGGGGCCCAGCACTGAGGTCACCTGGACAGTTTGGCGGTTGTACACCTTCACCACATGGAACCGGAAGCTGTAGACACCCCGGACAGGGGCTACGAAGGAGCCCGAGGCCCGGTCAAAGCCACCGCCCTCGTTCACCAGCACCTGGGGGAAATGCCCATGGCTCAGCGGTACCATGGATATGGGGGGGAACAGGGGCAGGGGTGGTGAGTAATGAACAGAAGGGGTGGCAAGTAGGAGCGAATAGGAGTGAATAGATTCAAAAGAAATGGTGAGAAGGAGAAAGGAGGGGATTACGTTTGGGTGGAGGGAGGGGAAACCATCAGTGGGGTGGAAGGGCAGCCGGCCAGTTTACGGAAAGATGTAGGAAGCTGTTTTCTTAGCCTGAGGGACAGCAGAGTGGGTTTGGGCAGTCGCTTCCAGGTCCCTGCAGGGTCCTTCCAGGTCCCCTGGACAGGGGTCGGGGGATTACCTGGTCGAAGTAGATGGCCCCCGTGGTGCCATTGCCGGTTTCCCCTGCTGGCTCATGGTGGTGGCTTCTGACCGCAGCAAATGCCACTCTCCCAGGGGGCGCCTCTCCCAGGGCTGCTCCCCCGGGCCCCCCTGCAGCAGCTCTGCCAGGTTCACAGACCACCAGGCACTCCCCTTCCAGCAGGACAGGCTCTGACCCCTCCTGGGCCCACCCAGTCCCCAGGGCCAGAAGCACCAGAGCCAAGGGCAGCCCCAGACTGTGTAGGGGACCTGGTAGCCAGTGTGGCTTGGCTCCCAACATGGCCGGGTGGCTCTGCAACCCACAAGTGCCCCTGTCTTCTGCCCCTTTTCTGTTTCTGCTCCTCTCCCTGGACTCTCACCGCCGGCACCTGCTCATCTGCCCTCTCCAGGCTGGCTGCACCCCATCTCCATACCTGGGTCCCGGCTCGGTCCTGCCTCCCACTCTCACTCCTGCTGTCACTGCAGTTCCCTCCTCCTTGGCAGAGCATGCAGTGACAGCAGTTGGGCTTTGGGAGGGAGAGGAAGGATGAAGCCGCCCTCCAGCTGGACGGGAGGGCTGCAGCCAGAGCTTCAGGGCAGCCCTTCTGGACGGGACAGCACTGGAGGCCGGACCTGGCGTGGATGGAGAACATGCGTGTGTGTGCGAGCGGTGTGTGCGAGAATGTGTGAGTGTGTGCATGTCCAGAGGCAGCCCCTCAACCCCTTCCTCCTACGATTCCTCCTGTCTTCAAAATCCTCCACAAATCAACAGCCTTTCTCCGTGGCATCATTCCATTTGTTGGAAGCAAGGGGTACCCCACCCGGGGTAACCCCCACCCCCCGCCTCTTGGGAAGCTTTGGTGGAAAGTGCCACGATGTTTTGGCAGAAAGTGCTTGGGCCTAGAGCACCACCGGGCCGGTCACGCTCCCTCTTTGGTCGGCCACTTCTTCATTCGCGGGAAACAACTTTCAGCGCGTGTTCCACTTTCCGAGAAATATCTGCGTAGAACGCGCGAGGACCCCGAGGGCCGGGAGACGGACGGGAGGGCTGGCGAGAAGCGCGAGGAGCTAGCACTGGAGCCGCCGAGGGGGCTGGACCCAGCTGCCTGTCGGGGCCTCCGGGCGCGGCAGCGGAGTTGGGAGGAGGGCGCGCAGCCGGGACCCGGGCAGGCCCAGCCCCGGGAGGAGCCGGGCTGACTCCGCCCCAGGCCAGGAAGTGACTCAAGAAACTGTTTGCGTGCGTTGTGGACTAGAGAGGTCCCCGTTGGGTGAGGAACCCGGGAAGGCCCGCCCAGATTCGGGCCCCCTGCCCTGGACCCCTGGGCTGGGGGCGCGGGCGAAGCGGGGGCCCGGCGGGCGCTGAGAGGACCCGAGGCCGGCGCGGGCGGCGGAGGCGGTAGGCGCGCCCCTCCCCCGCGCCAGGGAATGGGGAGCAGGGTCCGCGGTGCGGAGCGGGCCGGGCCCGGGCGGTGGCAGCAGTCCGCGGTGGGCGGGCCTGGCCCGGCCCCTGGGCCCCGGGCGGCGCTCGTGGCGTGACGGAGAGGGACAGCGGACGGCTGGGGGAGGGGTGGGAGTGGCTTGAACCTTGGAAATGGCAGATCAGAGGCCCCAAAAGACAGTCTAGTTCAAGCCCCTGCTAAGGATTCGTCTTTAAGAAGCCCCGTTGGACTCCTGGATATTGCAGAGTCTCCCAGGAGACTCCTTCTGGCCTCCAGGCCGAGCTGGAGCCCCCCACCCTTCCTGCTCAGGGCTTTGGTCATTCTTTTCCAAAGCCCAGACGCCCACCCCAGAGAGACAGTCTTGTTTACCAGGACTTCCTCTCCAGAGACAAGGCCTGTGGGACACATTCCCTCCCTACCTCCAGTGGACTCAGATGCTTGTCACCTCCTGAGGCTGTTTACTAGGGCCTTAACTAGGTGCGACCTGTTGATAGCTGGTGTAGGCCCAGAGACCAGGATTTGGGTTGAGGGTTCAGTGAGGCTCTGGCCGCCTTCTCCCCTTCCAGGGCTGGGGGCAGCAGCCATGCCTACCTGGGAGGCCCGCCCCGCGTCCCCAGACCGCTTTGCGGTGTCCGCAGAGGCTGAGACCAAGATTCGGGAACAGCAGCCCCATGTGGAGCGCATCTTCAGCGTGGGGGTGAGCGTCCTTCCGAAGGACTGTCCGGACAACCCCCACATCTGGCTGCAGCTGGAGGGCCCCAAGGAAAATACCAGCAGAGCCAAGGTGAACTCCCTCTCTCCCCCAACCCTCCTGACACCAAGGACGCTTTCCCCCAGAGGCGGGGGAGAGGAGGGGAGAGGAACGGCCTGGGCTGTCTTACTGGCAACCTCAGTGCCTCTGAGTTTTGAGGAACTTTCCGACTCTGTATTAGTTTGGAGTTTCGGCTGAATTTTTGCTGTGATGGCGCAGCCTCACAAAAATCATTCTGTGCTCTTTGGGAGAGTAGCCATATCTGGCTGAACAAGTTGGCCCCACCAAGGAATGCACTGTGGGGTGGGAGGCTGGGCCCCATTGCTTCCTTTGGGATTAGGCTAGGGTTTTAGGATGGCTCAATCATGTGCCAGTTTTGTGCTGGGAGTCTCAGTTTCTTTATCTTTACAATGGCAATAACACCATGTGGATACTCCAGGCATTCTGGAGCTCAGGAGAGAGCAAGGAGCTTGGAGAGGTGCAGTGTACTTTTCCTGACCTTCCCTTCCTCCCAAATAGGAGTACCTGAAGGGCCTCTGCAGCCCAGAACTGCAGGATGAAATCCACTACCCGCCCAAACTACACTGCATCTTTCTGGGAGTCCAGGGCTTCTTCCTTGACTGCTTGACCTGGAGTACGTCAGCCCATCTGGTGCCCAGGGAGCCCGGCTCACTGATGATCAGTGGCCTGACTGAGGCCTTTGTCATGGCTCAGAGCCGGGTAGAAGAGCTGGTGGAGCGGCTGAGCTGGGACTTCCTGCCGGGACCATCTCCTGGAGCCTCTCAGTGTCCTGGAGTGCTGAGAGACTTCTCTGCCCTGCTGCATTCCCCTGGAGATGCCCATAGAGAGGCCCTGCTGCAGTTGCCGCTGGCTGTTCAGGAGGAGCTGCTGAGTCTGGTGCAGGAGGCATCCAGTGGGCAGGGGCCAGGAGCATTGGCTTCTTGGGAGGGGAGGAGCTCAGGCTTGCTGGGTGCTCAGTGCCAAGGAGTGAGAGCTCCCCCTAGTGACGGCAGAGAGTCCGTGGACACTGGATCTGTGGGACCCAGAGAGTCCAGGGGAGCAAGGGGAGACAGTTATGCTGTGGAGAAGGAAGGGAAACAGGGTGGTCCCAGGGAGATGGCTTTTGGGTGGAAGGAGTTGCCTGGGGAAGAGGCCTGGGAGCGAGAAGTGGGGCTCAGGCCACAGTCAGTGGGTAGAGGGGCAAGGGAATCAGCACCCCTGAAAGGGAAGACCCTGGGAAAGGAGGAGGCAACTCAGGGAGGAGGAGGGGTCTGTGTTCACCGCGAGCTTCCCAGTGCCCATGGCTCTTGTCACAGGGCAGCTCAGTCTCGAGGAGCCTCCCTCCTCCAGCGGCTCCACAATGGGAATGCCTCTCCTCCAAGGGTGCCCAGCCCTCCACCTGCACCAGAACCCCCATGGCACTGTGGAGACCGGGGTGACTGGGGAGATGGGGGGGACAGGGGAGACAAGCAGCAGGCCACGGCACGAGGTCGGGGGCCTCACTGGAAACGAGGTGCCCGAGGGGGCAACTTGGTGACTGGCACACAGCGTTTCAAGGAGGCCCTGCAGGACCCTTTCACCCTGTGCCTTGCCAATGTGCCTGGCCAGCCAGACCTCCGCCATATTGTCATTGACGGCAGCAATGTGGCCATGGTGTGAGTACCTGGTGGGGCTAAGGGCCTAAGGGAGGGAGGATGAGATAGGCATCCTTGTCCACCTTGGGGATGTGTACTGAGGGGCTGGCATTGTAACCAGGGTGCCAAGCCCCTCCTCTGGCCGACCCCTTCCCACTGCAGGCATGGCCTCCAGCACTACTTCTCCAGCCGGGGCATTGCCATTGCTGTGCAGTACTTCTGGGACCGTGGTCACCGTGACATAACTGTCTTTGTGCCTCAGTGGCGCTTCAGTAAGGATGCCAAAGTTAGAGGTGAGTTGGGCCTGGTCTTCTGTGTCCTGGGGTAGGCTCTGTTTCCACCTGGAGGAGAACCCTATTATGTTCTTTTTTAATAGAGAGTCACTTCCTGCAAAAGCTGCATTCCCTCAGCCTGCTCTCCCTCACACCCTCACGAGTCATGGATGGCAAGAGGATTTCCTCCTATGATGACAGGTACTTGCTCCTCTCCTGGCCCCAGGAGAGGATATTCAAGGAGCTAGCTGAAGATTGAGGGAGAGAGAAAAGCTCCTGGTGGTTTATGCTGTTTCCAAGCCTTGGTAGTGGGTAAGGGGCTAGTTATTCCTCTGTGTCCCTTAGGATTGGGTTAGGTAAACCCGCCTGGCAGCTGTGATGAGATGAACTGTAGACACCCATGTTTGCTCATTTATCATTCATCAAACAAAATGATACCTCATATTTATATAGTGCCTCACTGTCTAGAAAATACTGGTTTAGTGGAAAGATGGGGAAGCTCGTGACATAAATAGCTGACAGATGTCTTCTTATAACCTGAATTTCTAAATATGCAGAGAAACTTCCCTAACATTCTGGAAGAAACACAGTAAAGGTCAAAATAACAAATAAAATGAAGAAACACAACCCATGAATAATAGGACTTTACAAAACATGGTATGATAGAAAGATCACTGGATTTAGAATTGGAAGAGCTAAATTTGAGCCTCAGTAGCACTCCTCATTGACTTTGACTGTGGACTCATGTCTTAGTGAATTAACCTCTTTCTCTCAGGGTCTTCCTCCATTCACGTACCCTCCTTGTGAATATATGAAAAAGATAAGGTGTGTGCCTTGCTCAAGGTGTGCTCGGCAAGAGTACAGTGACATTCCTTCCTAACTTTGCACACACCTATTCAAGTGTGGCAGCGGGTCTATCTCCAGTCTATAGTCGTGGAGACAGAGGGTCAGAGTGGTTACCTCTCTTAGCAAAGGGAAATTAGACCTCAAAACTGTCAGATGATATGAATGAAAATACAAGGCACACTTCTACCATAGTCTGCATAGGTAATGTGAGGAATGAACAGTTTTTCGAAAGCCAATTAACCAAGTTAAAATACTTAACAAGTTCTTTATTCCCTAGGACATTATTTAGATTTTAAAAATTAGTTTCCAAATCATAGTGATTATATACTTTGTCTTTTCAAACATGTACCTTCTATTCCTTAACAAGTAAATGGTATTCTACAAAATGGTTTACTTTCTCCCAATGTTATTCTACTTATGTATAGATGTCACAGATTACCCAAGATATGGAACCTTCTTTCCACACCTGCATTGAAACAGAATTGAAACTGAAGATTGAGTTCGTTTTAATGACTGTTAAAGGCATGTGTCTGCCCAGTTGTGTGGGACCTGGTGGGCAGATAACATAATATAAATTGGGAATTTGTCCAATAACAGTGAATAAGCACAGTGGTGCACAGCGTAGGCATAGTGAATGAATGTTGCTGAACAACATACTGTGTAATGAGATCATAGTAAAATATACTTAACTAGAAAATACCGTTTGCATGCCATAAGT